GCTCTGGTCCGGGTCAGGCCGGCGTCTGCAGAGGCTCAAGGCCGCACTTCTTAAACGGCTCCCAGGACTAGGTGCATCTCAAACGAGCGCGCGCGCGGGCACTGGAGTCCTCCTCTGACCAAACACCCGGCCCACTGTGTGGTGCTGGATGGGTAGGTTCATCACATGGGATTCTCCCTCTCAGGCTAGCACTCTTTTGCATGCCCCCTCCCATACGCTCTGGGCCAGGGCAGTTCTTCCCCATTTCTAAATGCAACTCTGCTTTTACCCACTTCCTCTGCCTTGCTACTTGCTCTGAGTAGGTCAGTCCCAGTTCCCGGGACCGGCCGAGAAAGGGGAGGCATTAACTACTGATTGCCAGGACCTCAAAGCAGCCCTGTCACCAGCTGTATACTATGCTCATAGCCCAGTTTGACGGGAGATTAAAAAATCGGATCTCCACTTTGAAAAAGCCTTCTTCTAGTGGCTCTGACTCCTTTACGCTTTCCTTCTTCCACCTGCTCCCCCCCAACTCCCCCACACACACCGGGGATCGAACTCCGGTCATTGCTTTTGTGAGGCAGGCAGTGGAACCACAGAGCTAAACCCCTGGCCCTTCTTCCACCTATTCCTTGTGCACTTGGTTTCTGCACCCACCAAGGATCAGAACGTATCCCACTCTTCATCTTTCCAGAGGGCTTTTTCCAGGGGCGGCTGGGCCCTAGGGAAACATCGTCACCCTTCCTCTCAACCCAGAGCATACCCACTTACAAGCTTGCATGTCCTGTGGGGATGAACCACGCGGATGATCTCGCCGGTGGGTATCAGCTCCACTTGCAGCGCCATTTCGCCCTGTGGAGAGCCAGCTTGTGGAGCGGTCAGCACTGGGACCTCTGAGCAAAAGCTGCCCGTTGCCTACTGACTGGCTGCTCCGGAGCCAGGAATCTAGTCTCCGGCTGGGATGGCCACTTGGTTCTGCTTCAACTTCAGCCCCAAGGGATGTGGCTGGTCCAGCTCCTCAGGACACAGCTGTAGCAGTTCAGGTCTGATTGGGAGGCCTCCTGGCCAGAGGGTTGGGGCAGGAAGAGGAGGGGCTGAGGGATGGAGGAAATGCCTGTTGTCCCAGGTAACCAGAGGAGCTGATGCAGCCACCCATAGGGGACCCTGGGACCCTAGGTTTCAGGTCAAAGGGCAAGAGGCCTTTCCCCCTTCCCATAGCAGCTACTTGGCTGGGCTTCTTCTATTGCCCACTATCTAGTATCAGCTGGAGAGGCCAGTGACCACTCCCCTAACCCGAGGGCACATCCTCTCACCCATGCCAAGAGGATTTCCTAATAGGCACTGCTCCTCTCACTGGTCCCTTTAATTTGGAAGAGCAGGAGGTAAGCTCCTTATTTTTGAGATGGGGGTCCTGCTACATTTCCCAAACTGTTCTTACTCCTGGGCTTGTGATCCTCCCTCTTCAGCTTCCCAAATAGTTGGTACTACACACATGCACCACTGTGCCCAGGTTTTTGATGTTTATTAGAGACCAGGGCTGGCCATGATGACCTGAGGGGATTGTTAAAGAGGTAAGAGGGCACTGTGAAGAAACACTTCTCTTCTCTGGAGCCTCAAATATTGGGGAGGGGTGTTATTCCTGGGATCCTTGGGTATGTAAAACCTCTAGTCCTTTGCTTCTTTTTATATACCCAAGTATCCCACACCCCCAGAGTTCCTGTTTTTCTGTTGCTAAATCACAGCTGACACTTTCCTGGCCTGGGATTGAGCACTCTGGTCTCCAGCCATTCCTTATAGGAAGTGAGAATAGGGAAGCCAATGGGGGAAACAGACCTTTCCAGAGGGAGAGGCTTGTATGGGAGGGGCCAATGTCCAGTGGCATTGACAGTGAGGATCCACAGGCAGGGATCTTCCCCCTGGGGAACACTCTTCCCTTCCCTCCCTGCAGTGCTACCCACCCCCACTCCCAGGAAAGGCCCACAAAGCTTCCTTCCTTCCTCTGGGAAACACATATATCCAGGGCAGGTTCATCCCAGTAGCGACACAATGGCTCTTATCAGCTGTGGAGCCAGGCACAGAGACCCAGTGCACACCAAGTCTCACATATTTCCTGTTTCCACCCAGCAGGTCAGGGTGGGCCCAGAGCAACCATATCCTGACTGGGGCCAAGAGGAGGGAGAGCAATCCCCTTCCCTTTTCCGCCTCTCAATCACTGCTGGACTTATTGCTCCCAGTAAGGAGGGGCCCTGCAACAAGAGGCTGGGACAGGAGTGGATGAAGTACTAAGCACATAAAAGGGAGATGTTAAGTGTAGAGGAGAAATGGGGACGCCTGGGGGGATCAAGAGGCCCTAGAGCTGGCCCAGGGGATACGGGAATTAAAAGAGAGATCAGTATCACGCTGGGTATTTTTGTGTGTGTAATTGCTTTCTTGCAATAATTTCACAAACAGGTACATTTGAAATCTTTTTTTGGGGGGGGTACAGGGGATTGAACTTGGGTCCTTGTGCTTGCAAGGCAGACGCTGGAACCACTGAGCTTAAATCCTTGGCCCGAAGTCATTTGTATTTTATAGATAACTGTGGCTCCTATGCGGTAAGATAGGGTAGGATCAAACACTGATGCAAACCCAGGTCTCCAGACCCCATTCCTATATTTCTTGCCCCTCATCCCATCATCAAGGAGTCACACACAAGTGTAAAAGCCACAGAACACAGGCAGTCATGGCTTGCTAGAGGCCGAGGGGACAATTTTTCATACACATGGCTCCCAGGGTAGAATACAGAATAGAATAACTGGAGTGACTGATTCTCAGTCGCAGGTGGTAATTGGACATGAATGACAGAGCAAGTTCCCTGAGGTATATCCTCTCTTGGGAGAAGGGCTGTACCGTCACCACTGGCAGAAGGCAATTGGCAGGAACAGGGAGAAGCTATGTCCACAGGGCACCTGCAGAATTATGATCTCTGAGGTTGTCAGGGCCAGGTCCTCCAAAATGTCTTCATCCTAGCTTTCCTTTCTGTCTACCTGCTCCTACTTCTAGGTCTCCAAGGGGTCAAGAGAGAGGAGCAGTTTCTTACTAAAGACTAATGATGGGGGTTTGGGGGGCAGATGAGCTTGAACTGGCAAGAATCATCCTGGAAGTCTATGGATGCAGCTCCTCTATCACCAGTCAGTCCATCACAAGAGGGCAAGTTGGGGGCATGGGAACCGATTTACCCACAGAAGCTAACTCAGCTCCCTGGAATTCTCTCTGCTCAGGCTCTGGAAATTCCTGGGTTAAACTCCATGCAGGGTTAAAGGGAGAAGACTGTGATGGCACAGACTCTCAACTGACTCACAATCACTGTATGTAAGAGCCTAGGTGGAGGGGATCTTCCATCCTGTCCACTTAGTTATACTGTTTCTACTGAAACAGAGATCTTAGACCCTTTCCTCATCCCCCATTGGGACAAGCTATAAAATGCCAAGACTTCTGGAACCCACCCAGTCTATGGGGCCTGTAGAAATGTGAGCATCTACCCTTTCCAGGCAGCCTGAGGCCCAGCATGGTGTGACAAGAATGCAGGCCTGTGCCAGATGGGGCATGTGCCTGGCTGGAGTGCTTGGGCAGGACTGGAAATATTTGTATGTGTGTTCATGTGTCTTTGTGCGTTCAAGAAATGAGATGCATGTTGGAGGGTCCTTCCTAAGTCTTCAGTGCTGATAAATTAGCTGGTTTCACTCATATCTCAGCAACAAACACCTGTATTTTAAGTGCCAATTCCAGTGATCTGGCCTGGCAAGAGCAAGGAGTCTGGCTAGAGCTCACCCTGGGAGGAGGCGGGTACTTGGCTGCCTCCTCAGGGGCTGGGCCCCCAGCAATCCTGGCAGTGGTGAGGCAGGGCTGGCTGCCAGCTGTAGCCTCCGCCCTGGATTCACTTGTCCCATCCAGGCTCAGATCTGTGCTTGGGCTTCATCCAGGAGATCTCCCACCAAAAAGCAGCGAGGTGGTATCTGCAGGGATAAAACAGGTGGCAGAAGGGGGAATGCAGACCTTCCTCCATACCTTCCCATAACTGCCATTCCCAAAAGATGTGGTTCCACAGGTATGGGTTGGCTCCTGGGCCTATGGTCTCAGAACCAATGGCAGGCTCAAGTCCTCTGTAATACCCCTCCCTCACCATCATCTCTTACCTTGAAAGGTTTGCTGATTCCCACCACAGAGTGCAGATTGTTGCTATAATAACAGAGGAGGTACTGATCTTCAGTCTCAGGGATATCATAGATGTTCATGTACACCTGGATGGGAGGATGAACAAAGGAGTCAACTCCAGGGTCCTGGCCACTACCTAGTTCTCAGTGACAAGTTCTAGCACTCTGTTCCTTCCAGAAGAAAGTAGCATACAAGTGAGCCTGCTTGCTGGAGATGTACCTGGTTCAGGTTGTTGCCGAAGGAGACTTGGTTGTCCCCAACCCAGACATAGGACACATAGTCATTAATGTGGCGCATCCCCACCTGTGGAAGGAGGTGGGGGTATTGGGCAGTTAGTGCTTGAAGAGGACATGGGACCTTATGGAAAATCCTAAGGAGAGGATGGTCTCACTGTTGGAGAAGGCCATCACAGTCTCCCTTCCCTTCCCTACCAGCCCCTATGAAGGTGAGGACCCCTGAGGAGGATGAGGGTGAAGCTCTTCAGTGTCTACCCAGGTTCCATGAGTCCTTAAGAAAAAAACGAGGGGGTTATGACTGGATTCCAGCCTTGCCCACCACATCACCTTGTACAGTCCAATCCAGTCCCAGGAGCTGCTAAGAAAGTCTGGAGTTGAGGAGTAGCTGATCAACATGTCATTCTCCATGGTCCACAGGCCCTCAGCCATCATGGTGATCAATGGGACAGACATCAATGGCTTCAGCTATGCACAGGAATGGGAAGTGGGTTGAAATCCTCTAACATTTCCTCCTCTAAAGCAACTATTCCTCACTGTATCCTTCCAATGTAGTGAGAGAAAGGGCACCTAGAGGAGTGGGCATAGAACTCCACTAAGCTATCCTAGCTGACCTTGGCTAGCCAGTAGAAAAGAGAAAAGGCCAAAAGCTTGTCAGGGGAGTAGCTGGCCCTGCCAGGGCGAATGGGGCTGAGAGCCAGGTGGGTGACACAGGGAGCCAAGTGCTGAGGATGGAAGGAGAACAGAGTTACTGAGAGGCTGAAGAATCCAGGAAGCTGTTCTTAGGACTCCAGCATTTCTGACTTAAGGCCCTAATCCAGCCCACACTGGTAAGAATAGCTATAAACATGTGGAAGGACACAACGATGTAAGGATTGAGAAGGATCATGAAAATGCAAAGACTGAAGGAAGGCCAGTGGCTTAAAGGAGGTCAGCACTCTCTTGATCAGGAGATGGCCATATATAAGTAAGGCGGGAGCTCCTTCTGCAACCTGATCTGGATAGGCTTAGGACGAATAAAAGGAAGTTCTATTTCACACAGTAGGTAATAAGCTTAATGAAACTTGTTAGGGAGAGTAGCAGGAGGAAATGGAAACCTATTCACAAGGGCTTGAACACGTTTTTCACAGAGAACCATCAACAGTTTCTAAGAAGAGCTGCGATACCTGACCATGGAGGAAAGCCAATCATGTCCTCCTACAGTTCTCCCCTGGGGACTGGCTGGGGGTTGGGGATGTAATCCTGCATAGCTGTTCCTCTGTCAAGTGTCAGGCAGCTCATAAGTTCACCTCTAAGCCAAAGGTACCAGTGACAGGCTTATGATCACTGATGCTGTACATCATGTGGCTCTTGTAGCTCTTCAGGGACAAGGTGAAGGAGGGGGCTGGCAGACTTGGGGTGAAAGAGTTGGCCCGGGGCTGCCGCTTCAACCTCCACAGGATGCGGTCCGTCCATGCAGGCTTACGTTTCTTCTCACTGAGTGTGGGGAAGAGGAATGGGGACAGAAGAAGGGGCTGGCCTGAGAGCAGGAATGAATAACCCCAGGAATGGGGCCCCTAACTCCAGTCTACCAGTAGCCAAAAAGACCGGTATGCCAGAGCTACAGGGAACGTGGCAGCAAGCAAGAAGGTGGGTGCCAGACAGAATCCTTGAGTGCTAGCCTCTGTCAGACATAGCCAAGGACCCTCTGCCTAGCACATTTATATAAATCAAATGGTGACTCATATAGACATTCTATTTCAATGATTTTCTTCTTTCTTAAACCAAAGCAGCATAAGATCAAAGTGGGAGAGTGAGGGGCCGGGGATTTAGCTTAGTGGTTCTGCCTCCTGACTCATAAACACAAGGTCCCAAGTTCAATACCCAGTACCAAAGCAAAAAACACAGGAGAGTGAGACCTGAGTTTGAATTTGGCTTCCTTTTCTACTAAAGGGGTGACTATAGGAAAAAGAAGTGAAGCATTTGGGGAACGCTTACCATCTGCCTCTGGTTAGTACCATTACCATTCACCCTTTACAATAAGGTAGAGAAACTGAGTCTTAGATGGGGAGTGGCTTCCCCAAAGTTACATAGATACTAACTGGTGGAGCCAGGACTCAAGGCCAGGGAGCGTGGCATGTACTCCTTACTGCCAAGCTAACTTCTCTTACAACTTAATGCCTCATCTGCAAAATGGAAGTAACAACTTTCACCTCAGTTGGGTATGGTGGCACATGACTGTAATCTCAGCACTCTGGAAAGATGAGGCAGGAGGATCTAAAGTTCCAGCTCAATATGGGCAACTTAGTAAGACTCTGTCTCAAAATTTAAAAAGGAACTGAGGAGGGCTGTGGATTCAGCTCAGTGGCACCACACCTGCCTTGCAAGCACAAGGTCCTAAGTTCAATTCCCAGAAAAACAAACAAACAAAACCTAAAAAGGAGCTGAGGATGTAGTTTAAGTGTGACGCATCTAGATTCAATCCCCAGTACTATCAAAATTAAATTGTTGGGGCCAGGGATTTAGCTCAGTGGCACTGTGCCTGCCTCGAAAGCGCAAGGTCCTGAGTTCAATCGATTCCCAGTATAATAATAATAATAATAATAATAATAATAATATGTTGTGTCACTGTTGCTGAGATTGAATGGGATGAGTTAAAGCACCTGAAATGTTTAGCATAGTGCTTGGTGCAAAATAAGCTCAGCAGACCTTACTCACCATGACTCTGTTGTCAAAAGCAGCCTGAGAGACTTCCCCGCTTGCTCTTCACTTACAGCTTCCCCCAGATGAGAAGCCATAGGGCCCCTAGAGACAAATGCTTTCCTCTAAGTAACTGAAGTCACTCAGACAGACAAGTCTCTACCCCTAACCCAGCCCTGCCTAAGCAGCTGTTGAGGTATTTGCTAAGGCCAGCTAGGTCTCAAGGCTCAGCCCTTCCAAATGGAGATAACTCATAGGCCAAGGCCTGGAATCATTGTGGGCTGAAAAGTGAGGTTAGTTGTTTTTGGGTTCTTCTCCTTTGGTGGACAATCTCTCTTCTTTCTTCTTTTTTTTTTTTTT